TTTTTTTTTGAGTTGGAGTCTCACTCTGTCGCCCAGACTGGAGTGCAGTGGCCGCTCCCAGCCACCGCAGCCTCGACCTGCTAGGCTCCGGCGATCCTTCCGCCTCAGCCTTCCAAGTAGCTGGAACTACAGGCACACGCTACCGGCTAATTTTTGATTTATTGTAGAGATGAGGTCTTGCCAAGTTGCCCAGGTGGGTCTCGAACCCATGGTCTCAGGCAATCCACTCATCTCAGCCTCCCAAAGGCGTGGGATTACAGGCTGAGCCACCAAGCCCGGCTCAGCTAATTTAAAAAAAAAAAAATTTATTGTAGAGAATGAGGTCTTGCCATCTTGCCCAGTCTGGTCTCGAACTCATGGGCTCAAGCAGTCCTCTCGCCTCTGCCTCCAAAGTGCCGGGATTACAGGCTTGAGCCACCATACCCAGCTTGAAGATAATTTTTCAAAAGATATCCCTGTCCCCACTCTGTCCCAGCTGCCTGCAGGAGAGCCATGCAGAGAACAGTCCATTCTCTCTGCGTACCAGTAGGGCCACTCTCTGTGGAGAGGGACAGGGTCTCAGGGGTTTCATGTCTATTCTTCTTGTCTTCATTGGGATATGGAATCGGGCCAGACCGGAACTTACATGAAGTCGTGTTGGAAAGGAGGGTCGGGGGGCAGAGTTCCCAGAGGGTCCTTCAAATCATTCACTCATTTGCTCCCCAGATGTACTGTGTATGTGCCGGGCTCATTTCAGCCTGGGGTCAGCCTGGGGTACCACGGTGTGCACACTAGGTGGCCCCTGTCCAGGGGAGCATGTGTTCTAGTGTGGGGAGAGGGGCAAGCAGAGTGCAGGAGTCAGCAATCGTGGTGGGTGCTTTAGCGAGAAATCAACCTGGGAAAGGGGATGGGGTGCTTCGTGGGGGGCGGTATGGTCCATTTAGAAAGGTTGGGGGAGGCTAGGCACGGTGGTTCATGCCTGCGGTCTCAGCACTGTGGGAGGCCGAGGAGGGAGGATTCCCAGAGCCCAGGAATCAGAGAACAACCTGGGCAACATGGCAAGACCTCATCTCTACAATTATTAAAAAAAAAGAAAAAGATTAGCCAGGTGTGGCGGCGTGTGCCTATGGTTCCAGCTACTCAGGAGGCTGAGACAGAAGGATCACCTGAGCCCAGCAGCTCGAGGTGGCGGTGGCCATGAGTGTGCCACTGCACTCCATCCTGGGCGAAAGAGTGAGACTCCGAATCAAAAAAAAAAAAGAGAGAGAGAGAAAAGATAGGGAACTCAGGTCAAGACCCCCTCGTGGGCTAAGGAGGGAGGTGTGGGCTCCTGAGGATGTGGTTAGTTTCCCACAAGGGGCTCACTAGATCCCTGCAGGTAGAGTTTCCTGCTAATGCCAACTTTTCTCTGTGATTTCCAGAGAAGTACATGGAGTTTGACCTGAACAACGAAGGCGAGATTGGTGAGTGAGGTCCCGAGCGTGTCTGGGGAGGGAAGTTTTCTGTGGGTAGAGGGCATGTGGATCCACAGAGCCCTACTGACCCCCCACATGCGTGAGGGGCAAGGGCGGTCCCGTGAGAGTGACGAACACACACCGCGACTTCCCTGATGGACTGGGCCCGCCCAGCCAGCCTGAGCCTCTGCCCTCTGCCCTGACTTCACTGCCCTTAGAATTCTTGAGACCCTTTCCTTCCCTGCTGCTTCTCCCCACCCCCACTCCCTGCCCACACCTCAGCCTTCCACCCCAGGTGCCCCAGAGGCTCAGGACAGAGGATGTCACCCCCTGCCCAGGGCTGGAGACACTCGGGTTGCTATAGAGTGGACAGGCAGTGAACCCCCAGCTCAGGGGGCTGGCGTTTTTTTGTCCCCAAGCCCATGTTTCCATTGTACAGTGTTCCTTAGATGACAATCTAATGTGCTTTTTTTTTTTTTTTTGAGTCTGAGTCTCACTCTCTTGCCCAGGCTGGAGTGCAGTGGCACATTCATCACCACCGCAGCCTCTACCTGCTGGGCTCAGGCGATCCTTCCGCCTCAGCCTTCCAAGTAGCTGGAACTACAGGCGCATACCACCACACCTGGCTGATTTTTTGATTTATTGTAGAGATGAGGGCTCAACAAGTTGCCCAGGCTGGTCTTGAACCCCTGAGCTCAGGCAGTTCTTTTGCCTTGACCTCTCAAAGTGCTGGGATTACAGGCTTGAGCCGCCATGACTGGCCACAAAGTTCTTTCATATGTGTAGAGTCTCTCATTGTAGCCTGCTGTACAGGCACTGGGGGTGTCAAAAGCCCAGTCTTGTTGCACTTATGTTCTGATAGAATACCATAGTTGGATTTTTTTTCCAGAGACAGGGTCTTGCTCTGTCACCAAGGTTGTGAGTGTAGTAGTGCAATCACAAATTCTCTTTTTTTTTTAATTTTTTTTTATTGAGTTGGAGTCTCACTCTGTCGCCCAGACTGGAGTGCAGTGGCCGCTCCCGGCCGCCGCAGCCTTGACCTGCTG